TGAGATGACCCCCAACCATAAAATTATTTTTGTTGTTACTTCATAACTGTAATTTTGCTACTGTTATGAATCGTAATGTAAATATCTGATATGTAGGATGTATTTTCATTGTTACAAATTGAACATAATTAAAGCATAGTGATTAATCACAAAACTATGTAATTATATATGTGTTTTCCGATGGTCTTAGGCGACCCCTGTGAAAGGGTCGTTTGACCCCAAAGGGGTCTCGACCCACAGGCTGAGAACTGCTGGTCTACAAGCAGAGGCTGGTCTCTGGAGGCTTTGAGTATTTTCCTGATCTCATTAGTCAGAAACAGCATTTGACACTGTCCTGTAGAGATTGAAAGGTGTAGCAGATCTACCTAACACATAGCCACAAACCCAAACAGGCAGCCAAAATGGGCAAAAAAACCCCACAAAGAACAAAAGAATTCTTCAGAAGAACAGATAAATGAAATGGAGATAAGTAACTTACCTGATACAGAGTTTAGAATGATGTTAAAGATGCTCAACAGCATGAGAAAAGATATAGTAACTATGGATACAGTTGGAAATATAGGCTGATGTAGCACTAATAAAGAACACACTGGAAGGAATACACAGCAGATTAAGAAAAGCTGAGCCGAAACCGGTCTGTGGACTGAAAGGTCCCAGGTTCGATTCCCGTCAAGGGCATGTACCTTGGTTGTGGGCACATTCCCAGTGGGAGATGTGCAGGAGGCAGCTGATGGATGTTTCTCTCTCATTGATGTTTCTAACTCTATCTCTCTCCCTTCCTCTCTGTAAAAAAATCAATAAAATATATTTTTTAAAAAAAGAAAAAGAAAAGCTGAGGATTGGATCAGTGTATTAGAAGAAAGGGTGGGAAAAAATCACTCAATGAGAAAACCAAAAATTAAAAAAAAAAAGGAGGACCCCTTAATGTACAAAAATTCCTTACCAGGATGCTGTCCTCTAATTGCCCACAACAGGGCGCTATGGAGCCTAATCTGTAACTAGGGTGCTGTTCTAAGAATGCCCACAAGATAGCGCTATAGAGTCTAATCACTAACCAGGTTGCTATTCTTAGAATGCCCATAAGAGTGCAGAGACTAATCCCCTACTAGAGTGCTGCTGTCAGAATGCGCTCAAGAGGACGCTATTAGGCCCCAAACCTTAAAAGGGTGCTCTTCTCTAGAATGCCCAGAAGAGGGCGCTAATGACCCTAATCTCTTTCTAGAGTGATGTTCTCGGAATGCCCTCAAGAGGACGCTATTGAGCCTAATTTCCTACTAGGGTGCTGTTCTCTAAATGAAGTCTACCTCCTTTTCTTTGGTTCCTAGATTCTGTCATGTAAAATGAAAACTAGGGTGCTCAGCCTCACAGCCTGGGATGGGAGCTAAGGTTTTCACTCTATCCAGGGTTTCTGCCTTATCTGTTGAGGCCAGAATTTCAGGGCTTGGTGGAGGGGGTCAGTTCCATCTTGCACTCAGTGTTCTCGTCAGGATCTCTGCACCTACTAAGAGGAATAAAAACTCCAAATCCCAGATTTCTTTTGAACCTGCTTTCACCTTTAAACTTTCAGACTCCTAACATTCCATAAACCACATACTTGCGCCAGAAGCAGGTAATGAGCACATCCTCCCTGCTGGAGAGGGCTCTCTGCCACCTCTGCCACCTCTGCATAGCTCTTTCTCTAGTTCGGACATAGCATCAGCGAAATAAGTGAATAAATGAATGAACGCAGACCATTTTTTACTGGGACTGGTGGCAAGGTAAAGAGAAAACTGAGACACACGTTTTCTCACAGAATTGAAACTCACTTTCCTAATTTTTTAGCAACACAATAAAGAGAACAATTCAATTTAAAAAAAAAAAAAAGTGGATGAGTTCAAAGCAGCTCCAGTGAGAGATGCAGCTTACTCTTTGGGCGAGTCGGGCTCCTGGAGACAGCTGTCGCTCGGTAATCACAGACCTGCCTCTCGGCCCTTTCAAGACCCCGTGGCTCACACCCAGAGGTCTCCTCGCATCTTTTCCCAGTCCTTGAGCTTTCAGAGATTCTCAGTATAGTAGGACTCTGTTCCAGAAGCAAACACATGGCCCACCTGATCCATGTGGGCTGTAAAAATGAACAATATGACAAAGGAAGACACGAGGCTCTGCAGTCCCCACATCCGCAGCAGCTGAGATAGGCTTGCACCTTGTCTGGAGCCGATGCTCACCCCATTATTAATGAGCTGCCACCAGAGGAGACTGCACCCCAGCTTTGGAGATGGATAAAAATGCCCCTATGCTCCATGTGATTGCCCTTGGCTTCTGGGACTCCAGGGAGAAGGAGGGGAGCCGCAGTCAGGGGTTGGTGCTAGAGAGCAACTACATCCTTCCCTGCGGCCTCAACTCCCTGACGAGTGCAGACTGGCCCTCCTCTGGGAACAAATGCCAGGCCTTTCCCTCCTCCCACCTTGGGGTACAGGGCCAGCCCCCGCTCTTTTGTGCAGGGGTCTGGCAAGGCTTTTCCCCTTGACCAGGAGGCTTGGAGGCTCCCCTGCACAGGCCCCTACATCAGTAGGGAGTGTGCAGGAGGCAGCTGATCGATGTTTCTCTCTCATCGATGTTTCTAACTCTATCCCTCTCCCTTCCTCTCTGTAAAAAATCAATAAAATATATTAAAAAAAAAAAAAAAAAAAAAGGAAAGGATACACTAGGTGCTGGTAACACTGGTTACCTCTAGAGGGAGCCAGATGGAGGGCAGACATGGATAAGAGGGAGACTTGATGGTATAACCTTTTGTACTTTTGATTGTGACTATGTGAATGTATTATCTATTTCAAAAATATGTAAGTTTAAAAAAATGAAACATTAATCTTCATTGCAAAAAAAAAAAATGCACAGAGTAGAGAAATTGATCTTTAAGGTTAATATCCAGAGATAACACTGTTAACATTTTTGCTCTATTTCTTCCAGATCTTTACCTATGAATGTATAGATCTATGCACAGACATATTTTTACCAAAATGGGACGATGCTGCATGGTGCTGTTTTGTTACCTGTGTTTTTCACTTAGGGCAAATTAAGGACAACATTCTGTGCAGCCTCATGCTGCAGGGTTACCAGTCATGTGAAGTTGGCCAGTTTGCAAAAGGCTATTTCTGGATGGACTGAGAGTGTCCAGCATGTGGGACATGCAGTGCTAGCTGACACCAATCTCCAACCACCCCAAATCTGGGCTTTTAACTTAATGTAATTTTTAACTTTTATTTCTTTTAATCCTCACCAGAGGATATGTTTTTACTGATTTTAGAGAGAGAGGAAGGGAGAGAAACATCAGTATGAGAGAGAAACATCACTATGAGAGAGAAACATTGAGTGGCTGCCTCCAGTACACGCCCCAACTGGGGATCAAACCCGTAACCTAGGAATGTGCCCTAACCAGGAATCGAACCAGCAACTTTTTGGTGCATGGGGACGATGTGTCAACCAACCGAGCCACTCGACCAGGGCAAATCTGGGCTTTTTAATTTGTTGCGTGAAGACCTTGACCAAGCAGGATGCTGCGTTCCAGACCCTGGGGAGAGAACGTCTGGGAATGGATTAAACTTTCCTCCTGTCCGTGATGTTTAACCTATGTCACTTATTCCATAGCTACAAATACCTCCTAGCTGCCCCCTCCCCTCAGCTTTCACATTCACCACCACCAAGACAATGCCATTGGAAGTAGAGGGTTTGGTGGAAGAACCAGTCTGCATGTCCAAAGACCTGGGCTCCCATCTGGGCTCTGCCACATGCGGTGTGATCCTTGGCAAGTCACTTCCCTTCTGTAGAAGTGATATTCCCCAGGCTGCCTATTTCACAGTGCTATTTTATTGGAAGACTCAGATGAAATTATGGTTGTGAAAGTGGTATTAAAATATAGTACACTGTGTACATATGAGTTTGTATTGTTAAATTCTGCCCGTTTAACCTGAAGTGTCAGAAGGAAAGGTAGACATCAAAACCAGTGGGTCCAGCTTCTTTCTAACATCGGCTCCTAAAGCTAACTCTTCCCTAGTCATCTTCAACTTCTATGTGCTCATCTTTTTTTTTTTTTTAATATATTTTTACTGATTTCAGAGAGGAAGGGAGAGGGAGAGACAGAAACATCAATGATGAGAGAGAATCATTGGTTGGCTGCCTCCCGCACACCCCACACTAGGGATCAAGCCCGCACCCAGGCATATGGCTTGACCGGGAATCGAACTGGTGACCTGGTTCCTGGGTCAACGCTCAACCGCTGAGCCACACCCGGCTGGGCAATGCGCTCATCTTTAAAACTGAGGGTCGCAAAGTTTAAGAGCACAGAGTGTTGGCAAGGAACAACTGAAACTCTGCTAGCTCTCCTGCACAGTGGGTGGAATATGAACTAGAACAACCTTTTTGGAAAAGAGGTGGTATCTACTAAAGCTAATAATGCGAGTTACATGACAGCCCAGAAAGGCCTCCGCTAATTAAATAATGAACACAAATGCATGCATGTCTATCAAATGACATGTTATTAGAATGTTCATAGCAGCACTGTTTGTAAGAGCCCCAAACCAGAAGCTAGCCCATCAGTAGTGAAATGGATAAATTACAATATTGCCCCACATTAGAATACTATACAGCAATGGGAAGGAATAATATTCCACTATACGCAATGGTATGAATCAATCTCACAAACACGTGGAGCAAAAGAAGCCTGACCAAAATAAGGTCATATGCCTGTTTCACTTGAATCCATTGCTGCGTAACAAACTTAGTGTCTCAAAACAATGTTTTACTATTTTTCATGATTGTGTGGTTTTTCTGATGTCATCTGAACTTGGCTGCAGATTTGGTGGGGTTGGAAGGTCCGAGGCGACCTCATTCACGTATCTGGTGGTGCTTGGTTCTTCTCCACGTGGCCTCGGCCACCTTCCTGACAGACCTCGGAGCAGCATTCCGAGAGGCTGAAAGTGAAGCTGCGAGGCCTCTGAAGCCACAGCCGCACAAGCTGCACAGCGTTCGTTTTCCTGTCAGTCAAAGCAAGTGAAAAGACCAGTGCAGGTTCCAGGGGTGGGGAAATAGGTCCTACCCACTGAGGAGAGCAACTCACACTGAAAGGGTCAGACACGCAGGGAGGGGAGAAATCTGTGGCCACACTTGCCATCTACTACAAAACAGTCTGATGTCATTTCTATAAAGTAGAACCGGTTTGTTGTTATAAATCCCTTATCAGATGTGCCGGAGGGTGGTATGAGGGAGGCCATGGAGGTTCCTGGATATATTATGCTTCTTCATCTAGGTGCTGGTTACTAGTGTGTTCAGTTTATAAAACTTAAAATGTCTGAAGTGGTTTATGATTGTATACTTGAATTAAAAGTTTAAAAAAATATATGTAATGGCTTAAAAAGAATAAAGTTCATTTCTCTTCCAAGTCACAGTCCGGCTGGTCAGGTTGTTGCAGCAGCTCAGCTCCTTGAGGTGATTCGGGGGCCCAGGTTCCTTCTTTTTTGCTGGTTCATCATCTTGTCCTCGCCCGAATAGTTGAGCTGTTACTGGCAGTCTGCTTTCTAGCTAGTGGACAAATGTGTTTCTTTCAAGCAAATAAGGTGGAAGTTACACACATCACTTCCACTCACCACCCACTGACAAGAACTTATTCTCATGGCCACACCTAGCTAGGAATGTAGTCTGAGCCGGACAGCCTGTACCCAGAAGTGCCAATTTCAGGAAACAACTAGTAGTCTGTGTATTTTTTATGATGAAGCTGTTCTTTAATAATTATGTTTTCAAATGCTACTCAGAAATAGCTAACTTCCTTTTCTCAGTGTTAAAAGGTTAAAAACACTGAGTGCCCTGAGTTTTATTCTTGTATTTCCTGTGTCAAAATGAAGGCCAATAATAATCACCACTCCTTTCCTTCGATATATAAATACACTTAAATGATAAATATGTAAGCAAAGACACAGATGTATTTAAATACTGACTATAGAACTGGTCAGGTTCCAAGAGCCTATATACTTTCCTGGTGGAAAAAGGTCAATTGTCTTTGGAAAATTCCTTACTATGATTTTAGAGGGGCAGCCTCTGAAATGAAGAGTCCAATGAATGAATGAATACATTCAGCAGCCTGTATAATAGGTGCTGAGAGAACCTGTTTAGCGCATATAACACTTAATTTTTTTATAAAAACATTTACATTTATTAATCTATTTTCTACTTAAAATGCACAGATAAGGAATTTATACATCGAGCACATGCGTAGAGTTTAGGGAAACAATTTTGTCGGTAATAGAACCCTGCTAGTCCATCAGAGGCCTACTATTTCCTCACAGGTATGTTCCCTCCCACAGCAGCCCTGGGACCCTCTCCCAATCCACTCCCTTGGGTTTTCTGATTTACTGCTTGTCTTCCTTCTAGAAGAAAGGGCCAACTGTAGCACTGATAGGTGCTCTAGAACTTTCCCTGAGACATCTGTCTATTGCTCCTAGGCATCTGGCCAGAAGATCTCTTTGGAGCCAGAAAGTTAATAACTGGTCTAGAAAATACACAATGTCATGGTCTGTGCATTTCTAAAGCGAACTTTATGACATCATGCAAAGGCAAAGGCAAAGGGAAAGGGAAAGAGAGGGAAGTAATCTGGCTTTGAGTCAGGCTGACCCAGGTTCAAATTTAAGTTCTTCCCCTTCCTACTCATGTCTAACCTTGGGCAAAGGACTAGATGTCCCTGGGCCTCAGCGTCCTCATCTGTGAAATGGGAATAACAATAAGAATCAGAGTGAGAATAAATCTTTAGGTGCTCAATGAAGCAGTTTCCGTGCTCACTATCCCTTTGTGTTTCCAGAGTGCCAAGGGCCATAACTTAAGGAATCAAAGGGGAAGCTGAACAATGACTAAAGTCTTAGAAAGTAAGATGGAGGATAGATGACTGGTAAATGTGTGGAAAAGAGCATTTGGTCTGGACAGAGGGCAATAAATACCAATGGCTACCATTTATAAGCACCTGGTGCCTTGCTTGGCATTAATATAGTTCTATTCAGTCCTCAAAACAACCCCGTGAGGAACCCATGATTATGGCCCCATATAACAAGTGAGGATTTCATAACTTGCCCAAGATCCAGCTAAATGGAGAACTGGAGAGTCAAATTCAGGTTTGACACTTTGCAGTAGCTTAAGATTCTCCTGCCCAGGCAGTGGAGACAGCTTGAGGGAGCTGGACTTACAGAGGAGCAGGAGGGAGACAGGAAGATGGCTGTCAGCCATGGGCATCAGGGGCTGGCAGGGGCCACAGAGACAAATGCACAATCTTCCTTTCGTCAGAAAGGGAATCCCCCGGTGGCAGGTGCCTCAGGCGTGGGCTTACCTGAAGGCAGGAGGGACTCTATTTTCCCTGGAGGAAAGTGGGCTTGTGAGTACCAGGTGAGACTGATCTCCTGGGGGCCACACAGGCAGATCTGAGCACCCTGCCCCTCCTCGCTGCGGGGCTCAGTGGGAGCACACAGTTGAGTCCATGCCTCTACTTATGTCCTATTGTCATTGCAGATATTCCCTTTGCCCCACTCTGGCCATTCCCTGGAAAGAGTTTACATAAAACAATAAAAATATTAAAATGTACAAATAAAAATTTTTCAGCATTAATCTCGCAACCTCTCCATTTTCTTATCCACAGACGAGGAGCAGTGACTGGAGCTGAATCTCGTGTCTGTAGTCTATTTCCTCTATGGAGCTGCACTGTTCTTTCCCGTGTGGATAATTTTGAGGCAAGCAAAGCAGAGTGTCTCTCCCCCTTGCTTTTCTTTCTTTTGTGGAGACATGGAACAGGTCAGTTCAACAGACTCAGAGCCTGTGTCTTGAATCTCAGAGGCCTATGACAGAGGCCTAACAGGTCACCATTTGAGCCATAAATATTTTTTCTGAAGAGCAGTCCCAAGAGCTCGCTAAAACTTGCATTTGGATTTAACGTAGATTGAGAACCTTACGTTTAACCCATGTCTCTAAACTCTGTCCCTGATTTTGAACCACTGGCTTCACATTGACTTCTAACACTGATATACCTTCTAAGACAAGTGAACCTAAACAAAGAACACCAACCGCACATTGCCGTCCCCTGAAGATAACACGGAAAAGCAAAGCCACACTGGGAAAGGAGAGGCCATGGCTTGGTTTTGTCCAGCAAACGTCTCTTGGCCTCAGAATACTGCCACTTCCCGCAGTCCCAGCCCTGAGCTGTGGTCCACTCTGAGCAAGTGAATTCCTCTGCGGAAACTTGCACATAATAAGGAGATGGTGTCGCCAACGGCCAGGGAGGTCAAAGGTCCTGATCCATCCAGAGACAAGGTGAACAGGCAGGCTGGGGGGAGGAAGTGGGAAACCAGCCACTTAGGCCAAGAGTGCAATATCATGGAATGCTGTGTCTGTAAGAATTCCACGTAATGAAAGCAAGTGCTGTATGTCTCCAACCCACACAACAGAGGCACCCCATGCTTTAGAGGAACGTGCACTAGCAGGGAAGTCGGTCAACCCCAAGACTTCGACTATCGAGAATGGCACACAAACCAAACAGGATGGCTATATGCCACTGAGAAGTGTGTTCAGACACGTGGGGCCTCCCTGGCAAGGACATGTTAAAAAGTTGCCCTCAGCCCTGGCCGGGTAGCTCATTTGGTTAGAGTGTTGTCCCGATATGCCAAGGTTGCGGGTTCGATCCCCAATCAAGGGCATGTACCTGGGTTGCGGGCACATCCCCAGTGGGAGATGTGCAGGAGGCAGCTGATCGATGTTTCTCTCTCATCGATGTTTCTGGCTCTCTATCTCTCTCCCTTCCTCTCTGTAAAAAATCAATAAAATATATTTAAAAAAAAAAAAAAAAAGTTGCCCTCAGCCCTGGCCGGGTAGCTCATTTGGTTAGAGTGTTGTCCCGATATATCAAGGTTGCAGGTTCGATCCCCGATCAGAGCACATATGAGAAGCAACCAATGAATATATAAACAAGTGCAACCACAAATCAATGCTTCTGTCTTTCTCTCCCTTCCTCTCTGTCTGGAAAAAAAAAAAAGTTGCCCTCAGTTACCTGCCCTGAGAACAAAGCAGGGTCAGGACGAAGGAAAACAGACAGAGTCATGGGTTTTCAGTTAGGCTTCCCAGGCTCTCCTCCCCTTCAAGACGAGAGATAACGGGGAACCTGAAGGGCAGTCAGGGGCTTCCAGAGGAGCCAGTCTCCCTCCACCTGCATTTCAAAGCCTTCTCACACATCGGGTGGGCAGGGCAGCACTTGTCTCAGATTTATGCTAATGAAGCTAAAAAGCTGTTTCTCCCACTTCCCACATCGAGGTGACCAGGTGACCGAGGTGATGGAGAAGGCAACTCCAGGGGCGGGCACAGCGGGCTGTCCTTACTGTGTACGTTTAGCTTGTGTGCCCCTTGACGAGATCTCACCTCTTTCTCTGAGGGAGCTACCCTACCCTCCTTTGATGGGACCCGGATTTCTGGAAGGTTACTGTAGGAGGGACTTGGTGTGAGGTTCTCTAAAGTAATGCTATTCTTGTGTTTAGCAGAACCGTGTCCAGGACAGAATAGCATGGAGGCAGCAGGGTGAAAGGAAACACAAGCTTTATTCATAGCATTTGCCAAATCTTGTGGCATAAATACTCCCACTATGACCGTATTAAATATCCCTGAATGCTTACCAATCAGCCATGAGGAGCTGGATCGGCACACCCCAGGGAGCTGGGTTCCCTAAGACACTATTTTCTCTGGTGCTTTAAAGTGTCACGACGATTTCAAAAACCTTAGCTGCAGAGTCAAAATGGGGCACAGTCTTTCTGAAACTATCTTTACTCTACCTCACCCCACCAAGAGCTGAGGCTCATTTTAGTCCTTGAAAAATAAATTTTAAAATGGCAATTTCTGTTCTCTTTTCCAGACATTTTGAGCAACACAAGTTAAAACCTGACGAGGAATTTTAAATAGAAAGAATATAAAAGCCAAATATTTTGAGCTCTTAGGGACGAGTCTGTACAATATGATAGAAACAGCTATGTAGCCTCTAGCCGAGGCTGAACAGAGATTCCGGTATCTGGTGTCATGTCTTAACCACCAGGGGGCTGAACAGTGGCAGGACATGCGTGGTGTGCTGAGAAATGGAAAGGAAGTTTTAAGGAAGCCTTTGAGACTTATCTTTAAGAAGCACTAATAGTAGGGTCCTTACCTCCAGTATCTTGGTTCCAAATCTTCACCTTGCAGTCGTGTGATGAGGTAGCGATTACAGGCATCAAGGCCAATGCTCTTGGTAGAAAGACACAGGATGCCACAGTCTGGAAATGCCCCTTATACTCACATATTCTGTTCCGTGTCTGTCTTAGGTCCCACAACTGCAAAGTAATGACATAGGCTACCTCAGATATATACATTTCCCCAGCTTCATTCATTGATATCTATCGCCTCTCCATCTCATGGCCCACCTGTTCCCTCCACTTACCTACTTCTGTAGCTACCCTTACCTTCATCCATCCCATCCACAACACAGCCAACCATCCATCCACCCAGTGATTATTTTAAGCACCAACTATGTCTCAAACAACCCTGGTTAAGAATGTGCCTGAAGGGTTGTTGCCTTCCTCATTAACATACTGGTTAGGAAAGCGAAGCTCCAAGTCCTACAGCATGAGAGAGTATGAGGTTACTGACTTTCTATGACAACTCAAGAGCTATCTTATATCAGCCTCTTGGTATCTGTGGGTCTTGTGGGGACCCCACAGTTAGGAGCACCTTCTCATAAGTACATGCAGGCACAGAGCTGATTTAATGCATAGTCACTAAACCTTGACTACAGGTGAGGCGCCAGTCCTGCCAGTCCCATTCTTTGCTGATACAGATCAGACCACACCTGGAGAATAATGTTCAGGTAAGAGAGCAAACTGAATTGTGTCCAAAAAACAATGAAACCACTGGACACCCTGTCCTCTGAGGAACAGTGTAGGAGCTGGAAACGCTTAGCTTGAAGAAAAGATGCCACATCAGCAGCCTGGGATTTAAAATCTTGACCCAACACTTTCCAGAGGTGTGTCTTGTACAGCTTGCCGTGTCTCTATTTCCTCATCTGTAAAATGGGAATTATACTACTTGACTCACGTGGTGGTGGTTTTTTAAAAATATATTTCTATTGATTTCAGAGAGGAAGGGAGAGGGAGAGAAAGATAGAAACATCAATGATGAGAGGGAATCACTGACTGGCTGCCTCCTGCATGCCCCCCAACTGGGGATCGAGCCCGCAACCCGGGCATGTGTTCTTGATTAGAATTAAACATGGGATCCTTCAGTCCACAGGCCGGCGCTCTATCCACTGAACCAGACCGGCTAGGGCTCGCGTGGTTGTTTTAAGGATTAAATGAGATAATACATGTAATGTGCTCAGCCCAATGCCTAGGCCAGTGATGGCGAACCTTTTGAGCTCGGCGTGTCAGCATTTTGAAAAACCCTAACTTAACTCTGGTGCCGTGTCACGTATAGAAATTTTTTGATATTTGCAACCATAGTAAAACAAAGACTTATATTTTTGATATTTATTTTATATATTTAAATGCCATTTAACAAAGAAAAATCAACCAAAAAAATGAGTTCGCGTGTCACCTCTGACACGCGTGTCATAGGTTCGCCATCACTGGCCTGGGTGTAAGAAATGTTTGATAGTCCTGACTGGTTTGGCTCAGTGGATAGAGCTGCGGACTGAAGGGTCCCGGTTTCATTTCTGGTCAAGGGCATGTACCTTGGTTGGCACATCCCCAGTGGGAGGTGTGCAGGAGGCAGCTGATCGATGTTTCTCTCTCATCGATGTTTCTAACTCTCTATCCCTCTCCCTTCCTCTCTGTAAAAAATCAATAAAATATATTTTTTAAAAAAGAAATGTTTGATAAAATGGGAGCTATAATTATTCTATTTAGATACTAGATGACCCCTTTAACTGGTATTCTACTATTAGGAATCCAACGTACTTTGGAGGAGCCTATCCTGAAATTAATTGAAAGGAAAGCTAAATGGTTAAGGGATGGGGTGGGCCCTTGATCAACACTGAAACTCCGACTTCCTAAAGAGCTTGAACCTCCTTACCTGTGACCACAAGTACAATGAAAACACTTAGTTCTTCACACAGTCCTTCTCCTTTCTAAGCTCTGCTGGGAGGACGGACATCAGCAGGCCAGTTCTAGGATATAGCCTTCTTGATTCTCATCCCATTCCTCTTTCCCAAACCAATTCAGAAAGCCCTCGGCTGAAGGGCCTTTCTTGAAAGAAGTATTTGGAATGCAAAGGATCACTTATAGTCTGCACTCGGAATAGGCCTGAGCCATTAGCAGACCTGCTGTGCAGCCCAGTACAAGTTATTTGCTCATCAACAACCAGACACCTGGACTGGACATGACCCCTCACCGTGGCTTCACAGCCTTCTCCTCCAAAGCCACTGCTGCAGGAGAGACACCTGTGTCCGTCCTCACTGACCTCGCAGTAGGTCTGAACGTGTTGCTTTGCAGGAAATATATGAGCCACCTGGAGCCCCCGACTGTCCCATAATCTGAAAGAAATTACAGCAAAAAAATGAGTTTACAGTAAATGTGTCTGAAATATACCATAATCACCTGCAATCATAAAAGTCTTGGCTCTTTGCTGCCTCGGCCAGTCAGAATGGAGTCATAATATACCTAAAAATAGCAGCTTGAACCAGATCAATCTCGGAGACTCCAAGCTGGCAGGAAATAACAAAATGACATCTGAGTTCTTTCTATTTTGAGATCTAGTTAATAGAAATTTAGACCAAGCAACTTAATTATATAAGCTAATTTGGTCTTTTGGGGTGCTGCCTTCAATGGAAAGAAGATATTTCTGTGCCTGTGATTTTTAATTTTTAAAAATATTTTTTTATTGATTTCAGAGAGGAAGGGAGAGAGAGGAAGAGATAGACACATCAACGATGAGAGAGAATCATTGACCAGCTGCCTCCCGCACGCCCCACACTGGGGATTGAGCCTGCAACCTGGGTATGTGCCCTGACTGGGAATCAAACCATGACCTCCTGGTTCATAGGTCGACACTCAATCACTAAGCCACACCGGCTGGGCTATAATTTTTTTTAAAAAGATACTTATGATAGTACAGAGGAGCAATCATCCTTCCAGATTCATAAACAAAAGATTTACAGACTTGGTCAACCTTGGCTATGGGGTTCACTGGGGAGTATTTTGTTTACCTCTTGTCTCATTCCTACCATTTTCTAAGTAGAATCTCTTCTGATAGCCACAGTTTCTAGTCTAAGAACAGTTGACTTCATTTGATTCCCCTGATAGCGATTCTTACTCTGCTTTCTCAAGAGAGGGCTTTGCCTGAGGGATGGGTGACTGGGAATGTGAGGGCCTGAGCAGGGCCAGCAAATAAAGCCAGGCAGTTCGAAGGGGTGGGAGGAGCAAGTGACTGATCCTGAGGTTAATCTGACTGTTCACACAGCTACACAGCCAGGGCGGGTGGAATCAGCTGCTTTGGGTTTTTCCTGGCCTGACTAGCATTCAGCCTCTATACAGAGGATTCTATGGGGCCAGATCAGAGAGGCCCCAGGACCAGTGAGGGGCACAGCAATGCAGGGAAGCAGAGTGGGAATGGAGTCGTGTAAGCGTGGGAGCCACAAATCTTCACCAGAAACACTGTCACTGGTGCTCAGTGAGCCCACCTGATGGTTTTATCTTCAGAAGCCTGTAGTACATATGGTTCTCTGGGGACCCAACACAGGTGAGTGACCTGGAAGAAGCACAATTTTCAAAATGTCTCCAGACCAAGTCATTCCTCTGCTGGAATTCCTGTAAACAGTGCTAAATAGCATCTCTGTACCACTTCTCAAGGACGCTGACCTAGGGAATTTGACTTGAAGGAAGGGGTTTCATGTTTTGCAGACACCCATCAGTTATGTTCTCCTTGCATCTCCTTGGCTATCAGCATCAACAGTAGCAGCCGGGCCAGTTGTGAGTACCCCAATGCATGCAGGCGCTCTTAGAATGCCTGAACCCAAACACCTGGTAAAGAACTGCTGGTCTGTGGCAGCCAGGGGAGCAGTCCCTGCTGTAAAGCGGGACCACTGAAACCACAGTCTAGGCCACAGAGGGTTAAGGAAGGGCTCTTCTTGCACTTTATCTCTGCAGCCCTCTGGTGGGCAGGCATGAAGGACTTTTCAAAACAACCCAAGGTAACAGGATTTTCTTTTTCCCCAGGAACCTCCACAAATACACAAGGCATAGGACAGAGGTCCTCAAACTTTTTAAACAGGGGGCCAGTTCACTGTCCCTCAGACATTCCACACATGCACACTGCGGGCCCGGGACGAGTCGGCTGCAAAGCAGGACAGGCAGCGGCGGCAAAAACACCCGGCAGGCCGGATAAATGTTTTCGGTGGGCCGCATGCGGCCCGCGGGCCGTAGTTTGAGGATGCCTGGCAAAGGGCAAGCACATCTTGCCATTGACAGTTGTCTTCAAAATTGGAAAAGATAACTATGATTGACATTTGATGAGCACTAAAGGAACATCTACCATGTCGGGTGATATAATTCTCCCCATTTTATAAATGAAGACACTGAGACTCTAAGTAAGTTTCTTAGGGTAACACAGCTAAAAAGTGGTGGATTGATGGTTTGAACTCAGGTATGACTGACCCCCAAGGCTGTGGAGTTTATATACCAGTCTGGTACCAGAAAACGCTGGTCTTCATAAACAGAGCAAATTATACAGAAAGCAACGTCATTCTTATTTCTCTGCATAATGTTATAGATACAGAACACAGAGCATGACTGTGAGCTCCTGGAGGACAGAGACTGTGTCCCTAGTCACTAACCCTGCTCTAAGCTCAGTGTCTGGCCCACAGAAGAAATAAAATAACTGTGTTTTGAAGGAGTAAGTGAGGACACCATTTAAGATTCCAATATGAACTAGTGGAATTGTTTTCTGGAGCAAAAGACCTTAAGAGATCGTCTAATCCAATAACCCTGAGAGGCTGGGGTTTGACAGAGAGGTAGGGGTGGGGAGCAATGAGGACCAAGCCTCTAACACCTGGTCGTGGGTCTCCTGATCTCTCGCCCAGGCCCTCCCCCTCCCCGCACCCTCCCTTCTGCTGCCCTGCTGCACAGCAGGTTAGAGTTCGTACCAGGTTCCTGGAGACCGAAGCTCTCTCCACACACTGTCCGGTCCCCACATCCCACAGGACTAGGGTGTTGTCCCGAGAGCCAGTGCACAGCTGTGTTGAGTCTTTGGAAACAATGGCAGGAAGATGGTCCATGAGACAGACTTGGAACAGGCTTTTCAGAAAGTACAAAGGCCCTGGGAAGGGCTCTGCTTTACTCACCAGGACTCACAGCTAACCCAGTGACCACCATGGCATGGCCCGAGAACTGCTGCCTGGGTTGTGAGGAGCCGTGCAAGTCCCACATCATCACCATCCTGTCCCGAGAGGCGCTGAAGAACTGGTTTGATTTGTGAAGACAGGCTATCTGCTCGAGAAAGAAAGCTTTGGTGTGCTTGTTTGATTGGATTTTAATACGTTAAGCGCCCAGCCTGTTTTGTCTTCCGGAAGGAAAGTATAGTGACAGTCACCGGTGACTGACTGGGCGCTTAACGTGTTAAAGTAGAAAAAGACCTGGGATAAGAAGGTTACAGCCTGATCTTCTCTCTCCGTCTGGTTCATAATGCACTGTATCTGACAGGAAAATACCCTGTTCCGTGCTATGGGATTGTGGCTGATGCTGAGTTTCATTATGACAGTTAGCATCCCAATTTTGGCCCATTCGGGTGAACTTCAAAGAGGGGAGTTATATAAGCTGGCATTCTCTGTCATTTTTGCTGGAAACGCACTCTACTCTGTAAAGCTATTAAACAAATTAATTTTTATTTAACTATTGTTGGCTTTTTAAAAATTTCTCCAACTAAGCCTAGAGATTATGTCATTTTTCTAACGATAGCAAACACACAGGAAGCCTTCAATGCATGTCCCTGTTGAGTGAGGATCAGCCAGGGAGAGCTACTCTCTTTTTACCCTGAGCTATTAAGGGCTTAATAACAAAAGAAAAATTATGTCAAATATCCCTGTACCAATAGCTAAGTGAATGGTTTGCTCTGCTTTTCCTGGAGTAGGACTTCACAGCACCAGATACAAAGCCCTTGCATGTTCCTTTAAGAATATTCAATCACTCTTACCATCTAGAGCAGCGGTTCTCAACCTGTGGGTCGAGACCCCTTTGGGGGTCGCCTAAGACCATCGGAAAACACATATATAATTACATATTGTTTTTGTGATTAATCACTATGCTTTAATTATGTTCAATTTGTAACAATGAAAATACATCCTGCATATCAGATATTTACATTACGATTCATAACAGTAGCAAAATTAGTTATGAAGTTGCAACGAAAATAATTTTATGGTTGGGGGTCACCACAACATGAGGAACTGTATTAAAGGGTCGCGGCATGAGGAAGGTTGAGAACCACTGATCTAGAGCGATTAGGTGTTCCTTTATTCAGTTCCAAATTCCCTCCATGATAATAACCACTTGACGATTTTACCTTGGTGATGTCATGTTCATGTCCTCTGAACCTTTTCACCACGTTTCCGGTTTTCCAGTTATAGGCCACAACTGTCTGCAGAGAGTCATTCGCACCGTTTAGTTTAACTGAATGTGTTTAACTGAAACAACAAGCCTTTACTTCATCCTCTACCTGACTTCTTCCTCTCTGTCCAGCGACTTGCATCGAGCATTAGGGTTCTATTGTGTCCCTCCTCAGAGCCCCTACTTTGAGTTTCTATCTTTCCTCCTGATCTCTCCTGTCTCTCCCCAGCTCCTGGGCCACCCCTCTGAGCCTTACTGATGGGTTTGGGATAACACTCCTTAAGGGAAACGGATTCAGATTGAGGTTCTGGTTGTAGATACTGAAGGAGAAATCTACATAGGATTAGATTTCCCCCCCCCTAACAGTACTGTATTTTTATTTTAGTTTTTAAAATTTATCATCTTCTTAATGATTTGTAGGTGTACAGTTCACTAGTATTAAGTATATTCGCATTTATTGCGAAACAGACTGCACTTTTTTAAATTTCAGAAAACCTCATTTGTATCCTGCCTGCCAGAGAGAATCATTGTTAACAATCTCTTTCCATCTTCTTTCCAGGTATATAATATTTTGTTGTAAGCATTCCCCCCCTCAAAAAAAAAAAATAGGTTTTCAAAAGCATTCTCTGGCCCAGTCTCTGCAGTTCATTGCTAGAGAGTAAAGAGCATGTTAGCACTTGACCTAAACCTCAGTTTTGTAATCTGCAACATGGAGATGTTAATCCTTGCCCATCTATTCCTCATATCAGGTGAGGCTCATAGCAATAAAAATTTCACGTCTAAGATAATATAGATATTAAGACAAATGCTGCCAATTAAATTATGTTATCAATTTTCAAATGCATACTGATTTCAGAGATGTTAAAATGTGAAAGCGTGTGGATCTGAAAGTCAGTGAAGTACAGTGTGAAAATGGAATTTGAAGATTCTAAAAGGCTATTGAAAATGAGAGGCATTTACCATAAAAGAATCAACATTTTTGCTACCAATATCCTAGCTGTAAGTGCTATGAGAGATCCACATCTGAGGGAGAGAAAGCAACCAGATTCAAAGTGACAGTGGGAGGAAGCACAAAACCAGAGAAGGGAGGAATCACAACACACACCAATGTAGAGATTTTGGCAAAAGAGCAGTTAAGAGACTAGAAGGCTCCTTTTGCTGACAAATAACTCCTGTGTCTGTGTGTAGGTATAAAAATGGGTTGGCTGGAATAATAATATTTGTCATTTATAAAAAGCACATGGGAGGCATAGTGCTAAAGATCTTACCATTTATTCCTCACAACGGTGCTGTGAGGTTGGCATTATTATTCCCATTTAATAGATAATAGACTAAAGCTCAAGAAAATTAAAAGACTTGCTCAAAGTAAGAGGAAGTGGCAGAGAAGGGATTTAAACCCAGTCTTTCTAATTCTAAAACCGTATTTTACACTACCCAACACTGCTCCCAGAAATGAAAAAACCAGTGTTTGCTTCCCAAACATCTTCCCTTCTCTGCGATGAGTTGGTTCCCTGGGAAGCACTGCAAATCCCACCTTATCTTTTCCTCCGGAGACACAGAGGTCTGAGTTCAGAGCAGCAACAACAGAGACGGTGTCCACGTGAGCTGGGCTATACTCATGAAAAGCTGTAGTTTGAATTCTCTCTTCTATAATTGCATCGGGCCTGCTAAAGAGAGGATGGAGAATGAGAGGCCCAATGGCATGCGAGTGCACAGTGGAGCAAGGGGAAGAACAGTGTGAGCGAAAGCAGCAATTCAGGCCAGACGGAGGAGAAAGGTGGGAAAGGAGACCCACTGACATTGCCAGTTCGTAGATGCTCAGAATGACTGAATCTGACAAAGGGGAATCCTGAAGCCAAGAAGCCAGGAGTCTTTCTCACTCTAGAGCAGTGGTTCTCAACCTTCTGCCCCTTTAAATACAGTTCCTCATGTTGTGACCCAACCATAAAATTATTTTCGTTGCTACGTCATAACTGTAATGTTGCTACTGTTATGAATCGTAATGTAAATATCTGATATGCAGGATGGTCTTAGGCGACCCCTGTGAAAGGGTCGTTTGACCGCCAAAGGGATCGCGACCCACAGGTTGAGAACCGCTGCTCTAGAGATTTTTTTTCCAAAGATGTAGGGCCCCTCTCTGTGTGGCCGTAGACACTAGCTACCAAGCTAGACTGTTTCTTATCCAAAAGAAAACCGAGCAAACGGACAGGTCAGAAAAGGTCATCAATACTTGCTCTGGGCCTTCTCTTTCTTCAGTGGAGAACTGTAATGGGCATGATAAAACCTGGGACCCCAGGTAGGGCTGCTATACCTGTATTTATAAGTGCTGTGTTTGAGTTTGCTTTGCAGTTTCCCCATCATGGCACAGAACCTACACAAAATCTTCTGAGGAGGAGCTCGTTTCAGATGGCACCTGAGGGGCAGCATCCCTTGTGGCTGCTGGACGTTGTGTTCCCTGTTCAGTAAAAAGAACAATACATAGTTAATTTTGTTAGGCACAGTGATGGTAGCATGGTATAGGGCAGGGGTCCTCAAACTACGGCCCGCGGGCCACATGCAAATACAAATATTGTATTTGTTCCCGTTTTGTTTTTTACTTCAAAATAAGATATGTGCAGTGTGCATAGGAATTTGTTCATAGTTTTTTTTAAAACTATAGTCCGGCCCTCCAACGGTCTGAGGGACAGTGAACTGGCCCCCTGTTTAAAAAGTTTGAGGACCCCTGGTATAGGGATTCAGAGCGAGCACCCCAAGGTGTGCTTCTGTGGTATGCGGATTGTTTTGAGCTAAAGGCAATTTTAGCATCGGGCGCAAGGAAAACTTCTATATGGCTCCCCTTAACTACCTAGAACTTGAATTAGAGGCCTTGCCATGATAAGGTATTATCAGCAATAACCTTTCTGACCCACCTAAATGTCAGGCAAACTTTGATTTACTAAACATCTGCTCCTCTTAACATCTTTCAATGACCCTGTGAAGTCCCCACGGTGTACTACCTCACCCCTAGCTCAGGATGTCTTATACCTCTGACCCCCTCTATCTCTGAACCTCTGGTGCATGTGGAGTCTCTGACTCTCTCATGTATGTGGGGTTCCCATACATATGTATTAAATTTGGTTATTTTCTCTTTCTAATATGCATGATGTCTTTTGATTATGAGACCAGCCAAAGAACCTTGAGAGTAGAGGGAAATCTGTTCCTCCCCCATAATGGTCATGTACAGACATATCCTTTTTTTTTTTGAAAAGGACTAATTAATTGTATGCTTCTGCTTTTCCTCCTTTCCCTGCCTCACTCTTATGGCCCTGGGAACACACCCTACAATAAAGCACTAGCAGATAAAAACCAAACAAAACTAATACAAAAGCTCTTTGAAGTCCCCAATGATTTTTAAGAGTGAAAGGGAGTCCTGAGGCCAAAAAGTTTGAGAGCCACTGACCTAGAAGTTAATTAATGCCAATAATGGATGATATACTATATTAGAATAAAAAATTACTAAATGTTTTCCAGATGTACTTGTATTGTCCCCAGTAACTAACAAGGCTAGATTTAAAGAGAGAGACATATGCTCATCCATACACATTCAGGAAATACCTCTTAAGCACCTAATTTGTGCAGATCCTATACTGGAGAACGAAGAGAAAGAAAGCAGATGTGGCCACTGTGGACATGGGCTGGGACTAAAGGTATGTGACTAGGGGCTAATCTCAGCTGCTCTGTTGTCCTCTGCAGCTAGCTGCTCCCTGAGACACTGAAGGGTAAAGGAAGTAATTGGGAAGGTGTCCTCATCTCTTCTGGGTTTCTGCTAAAAGAAGTTCTAGATGAGTTTCTTATGGGCACAATAAGCCTAGTTCTAGGAAGAAGAGTGTACAAGGAGACAGAAGCTAAAACTCACCAAGTATTCTCAATCATCTCATTACCATTAACAAATAGAGTTTTCCAGAAGAATTTAAGCCAACATTTTGAGAAGCTGCCAGAATTGACCTCCTGAAAAGAGTTGGTAACCAGTATAGAAGTACAACGCAGTGCAGAGAACAGTGTTTGTGGCATCAAGAGCCCTGAGCTCCAGCCCCAGCTCTACCTCATCTCACTGTGTGTCCTTGGCTGAGTTCCTCCATTCCCCACTCTACGCCTCAGCCTCCCCATCTATAAAATGTGATTTCAGATTAAAAGCTTTTTAGAAGACTATCTGCTCCCTAAGAGGAAGAACTCTTGTCATATTCATCTTTGTACCTTAAGTGCTTGCTCAGTGTGATAAAACATTCGTGAACTAGCGAATCTAAGGTCCCTTCCAGTTCAGACCTTCTAGAGTTCTCTCTAATAAGCACAAGATGTGCTGACAGCAAAAATTCCAGGATAGCTTGCAAAAAGCTTGGGATGTTGTGTCGCTTGTAGATTGGTAGAGGTTGCAGGGCATCCTAACTGCCAGCCTAACCCATTTTTCAACATTGTCATCAAACTAAGGACAGATGCCATTCAGGGATCTAGGTCACTGGAAACTGCAGGTGCTATAAATGGACTGGCTCTGCTTAAACTGATTAGATTCATAGCTGGTATCTTCTTATACTTCCCACCCGAAGAATATTCATGGAACATTCTAAGGAAAAAAATAACTTTTACATTACCCCAATTCAATAGGATCTTCTTGTGAACTTCGGTATTCAATGCTTTGTAATGTTTATTCTTTGGAAAATACTTCAGGCAGCCACTTCCTAATCTCTGTAAGTAGTGAAAAGATGCTTAAATTAATCTCTTCTCCGTCTAAGCATATGTTTGTACCGAAAGGATATTTACAAGGTAAATTAAGGACTTTAACTAAAGAGATTGTTAAGTATAGTTTTCCCTCACAAAGAAAAAGATATTACAAAATTCCAATATTTGGGGGGAAAGCATACCATAATACTAGTAATATATCTGTTTAAATATGCAAAATAGCATCTACTTAAACGCACCATTAAACATTTTTATTTTACTCATAGTTCATCAAAAATCTTCAGAGGTGACTGCTTACTTCAGAGCTTAGTGTTTTTGTGAGAAAGGCAATTTCTCCTGTTTAAAATAATACTTTAATAAGTATGGGTCATAGACGTTTAGAGGAAAGAGCTTTTCAAAATCACATAAAACCCTTTATTTAAAGATCTGGAGAATTATTTACTCAAAATTATAACTAGGTATAATTGACTTCTAGTCCAGTGGCCATGTTAGTAGCTATCATTTACTCTAGTCCAGAAATTCCAGTCCAGAATTTCCATTATAAAAATCTACAAAGAAGAAGCCAGTTTTATTGCATTTTAACAACTTCATTCTAAGGATTCAAATAAACAAATTCAAATGATCAATTGACAGTGTCACTTATTCTAATAATTAAGAGCAGCACAGAATAGTCAGAACAACATTTGGCTGAGTGCACTGGCATCATTTTTAGGACTAGGTCTGGGCAACCTGTTGAGCCGAAGTCTCAGTTTCCTATGTGTAGAATGGGATAACTCTACAATTGGGCTTTTGTGAAGATTAAAACTAGCACTCAGGATGTGCCAAGGACTATTTTATTTTATTTTATTTTATTTTTTTTAAGTTCTTTTTTTTTTAAAATATATTTTATTGATTTTTTACAGAGAGGAAGGGAGAGAGATAGAGAGTTAGAAACATCGATGAGAGAGAAACATCGACCAGCTGCCTCCTGCACATCTCCTACTGGGGATGTGCCCGCAACCCAGGTATATGCCCTTGACCGGAATCGAACCTGGGACCTTTCAGTCCGCAGGCCGACGCTCTATCCACTGAGCCAAACCGGTTTCGGCCCAAGGACTATTTTAAGTGCTTATACTTACTAGCTCATTTGGTCTATTCCACAAGCCTCTGGAATAGTTACCTTCCTCATTTTGCAGATGAGAAAAGTGAAGCACAAAGATGTTAAATAACTTGCCCAAGTTTACAAATAAACTGCAAATAAGTAGCAGAGCTGAAATTTGAATCTGGCAGTCTTGCTCCAGAGGCCTTGCTCTTGACCAGCATACTCTACTACATCTCTACAAAAGGTAGTGCATATAAAGTCCTCAGTTCAACCAGGCAAATGGTTGAGAGTAAATGATGGCTACTAACATGATTGATAGCATTACTCAAAGTAGCAATTTCACCCTTATTACTACTGCCCTTAATACACATATATTAAACATACATAAATATACTCAGAGAACAGATACAAATGGATATATGAGCCTGGAGGATTTTAAACTGAAGCCAACTTTGTCCTCTGACCAGAGTGATTGATCACACTAAGGCTAAGAATTTATTGCATGATATACCAAGGCAACTTAAAAATCTCAAAAACAAAGTATGTACTTAGACAATGCCCATGTTGTAATTTATTGAGTTGACTAACCTAAGAAATTAAAATACTATTCAGTTATCTTCCTGTTTATACTGTGAACATATAATATACTTGAGAGAAGGGATGGTGCCTTGTTCATTTTTGTATCTGTGCTTTAAGCATAGCATGGAAGAATGGATGCAAGGCAACTATCTGTTGAATAAATGGATGAATGAATGAATGAGTGAATGAATGAAATACTAAGGTGAAGAGTCTGTTTGGCAAGAAGCTTTTTAAGGATCCAACAATCTAAGGGTTCTTTAAAATTGCCAACAGCAAATCCTTCAGGAAGCAGTTACTCTGATTAATTCAACTGCAGGCCCGGAAGATGGCAGAACTTGGGAAAGCCATAAACTCACCATGGCTCTGGATGTCCTTGTTGGCTCCTGATGGACTAAATCTGAATCCCAGCATCCATTTCTGCTCCAATTTGCCTTCCAAAGACCCTGAGATACCCAATGGTCACCCTAAACATAACTCAGAGAACCCTCTTTTAGCTTTCTAGTGCCATATTCCTTGATATACTGCAGCATATATCCAACTATTGTTTTCCATGAGGAAACTGGGACACAGAGGATTGTGTCTTGCAGGAGCAGAGCTGGGGAACAGGACCTTATTTCCCTAGACTCTTGGTCTACTATTTACATAAATGGTGATTTCGTATCTCCCGCTGTACACATCTAACCTTACACTCCGGGAGACCAAGACATGGAAACCAAAGCTCAAACACAAAATCACGGTAGAAGCATGTGGGAGGTGGTCTGATTCAACCCTCTAATAGTACAAATAGAGGAAAAAGAGGCCCAGAGAATAAGAGGGTCTTGCCCAGACTCACACAAGAAGTCAGCACTAGGCCAGAATCCCAAGGTTGCCTCAAGCTTTAAGGACACTGTGTGCAGTTTTTCTTTTCTGGCTCTTCAGTTCACAAAGGCCCTCATCCAATCTATGCGGACGGCCAAAGCTTATTTTTGATGTGTGCTTGTTGGGGAAAGGGGCCTGGGGACGCCCAAGATGGGAATCCAGCGCCACCCAACCCAAGCCCAGCCCTCGGAATTCTCTCCTCGCTACGGCCAGGTGGGCCTCTGCAGTCGGGAAAACACGAGGGCTCCCACTTTCCCGCGCACCCGCTGAGCCCCTTCCTATCCCGTCCGCGCCCCCTCGGCCTCCATACCCATCGGCCGGCTGCCCAGCAGGGAGGTGAGGCTGGCGAGGGCGCCAAGCCGAGCCGAGCCCGAGAGCATCTGCAACCTCCGCGCTCCAGGGTCCATGCCCCCGCCCCTAGCAACGAGGCGCGCGTCGCTAGGGTGGGAGTTCGGCCGAAAAGCCTCCGGACAGCCTCGCCGGCTACTAAACTGTGGTTCCGCTCTCCTGACGTCTCCCAGGAGCCCAGCCGACAGCACCCCGCCCTGCTTTCTTACCGTAACAATGCGTTGATGAGGTTCCCGAGAGGAGGACCGATGTGCCCAGACCACGCGGCCAGAGAATCTATATAATGCAAAGAAAGCTGGTATCATCATTAGAGTAACGGAGGAAACCCTTAAAAATGTCACCTTTTAAATTGCTACTCGTCTAGATAGAGGTGTTGCTTTATTTCTTTGGAGTTTTCCCTGATTCCACCCAGGCAGAGAGCCCTCCTTTGGACACTCCCCCAGGTTCCTCATTCCCCTATTCCTTTCATCAAACATTTATGGCCCACCACCATAGCAAAGAGATCCCTCAGTACCTTCTAGAGAGCCAATGAATGGTAAGACAGTTCCAGAAACCAACAGCAGCTTCTAGACTAAGTTTTTACAGCTCCAATCACATTGCTTTCAGACTAGAGTCCATTCCTGTCTATATTCCTAGCGCATAGCACAGGGCTTGGTGTACAGTAGTGGCTTGTTGAACATTTGTTGAATGAATGAATAAATGAATGAATGAATGAATGAATGCAGAGGTCCTAGCCAACATTTCTTTTAGGCCGTAGTAGCTGCCTCCTGTAGTGTTGATCTCCCAGCAGAACTACCTTCAATGTGAAGTTTCTGAAAGTTGGGTGCCTGTGGAAAGGGGGATGGGGGTGGTGAGGGAAACGTTCCTTTACAGAATATCAAGCTGGTGATTGGGTCTGTCTTCCCCAGAGAGGGCGTCCCCTCTCCAGTATCCCTGATGGGGTTCCTCTAGCCCTGTTGACACTCCCTTGATGATGCATTCATTACTTTCTGAGTCAGTGGCTTGTTGTTAGACTTCCTCCTGTCAGGAGCTGGGATCTACCCCATGTCACTTGCAACACTGATTGTAGTTCAGAGCTGAGGGCTCTCCCTACAAACTTAGCCCCTCTTCCCCATAACAGCCTGGCAACCAGGAGAGAGTGATTGCTTTGTGCCTGGGGCCCTGGGCTAGGCTCGGTGTAGCAACAGTTGACTTACCAGATCCCTGCCCTCCAGATGCATCAGTTCTGGGGATATAAACCTCTCCCCGCTCCCCTTTGGTTCAAGGCACCTGAAACTTCAAAACTGGTATCTCTAGCCAGACTTCTCCTAGACCTGTGTATCCACCCGCTTCCTGCCCATCCACACTTGGCTATGTAAAATCGTCAATCCTCGACATGAATCACACTGGAAACATTATCTTCCCCCCAAACCTGTTCTTCCTCTTTTCTTTCTAAGTGCAGGGGCATTACCATTCACCAATCAACCATGGCAGGGCTCTAGGAGTCATTTGTGACTTCACCCTCTCGTTCTCCTCCAGACTGAATTAGCTATCCTTCCCGTGTGCTTCCAAAGCCCCTCATACTTTCTGCAACACAGTGTGATTTTTCTTTTACTGGGCTCTCTCACTTGCCTGTGAGCTCCATGTGGACAGTGACTGGGTCTTATTTACACCTGTATTTATTGCTGGTGTCCAACATAGTGTCTAGAACATTCTACTCTGATGGAACTGTTCTATATGTTCTCTGTCCAATATGCTAGCCCCAAGCCACCCGTGGCTATTGAACACCTGAAATGTGGCTAGTTTGCAACTGAAGAACTGAATTTTAAATTGTATTTAACTTTAACTTTAACTTTAAGGAGCCACAGGTGGCTAATGGCTATGGCATTAGACAGCACAGGTCTAGCACATACCGTAATTGATCCTCAATAAGTAGTTTTGAATAAAGAATGAAAGGGGAAGGTGGTCATGAACAGCCAATTAGGACACAAGGTAGAATGCCATGGATGCAGTCAACATACTGTTTGTGCCCCCTTCTTTCCCCTCACCTTTCATCCCCTTAACCTAACACTACCAATGCCTCCAATTCTGTCTTGTAGAAATATAATCCTAGTTCACGGCTCTTTGCTGCCTGAACTGATTTTTCTCTTCTGGACTTGCCTAGTTTGATAGTGTCCATCCTCTGAAGTGTACAGGTCCTAGGAGTCCTCTGGAGATGAGATCTGGTCTCATCCAGTTTGGTCTTGTCTGGCAAGAGCAGGAAGGACTCTTTCTCCTCAGGAGCCTGGACTGCACAGGGACTCATGTGGTGTAAGTTTGTCTGCACTGGCAGGCTGCCAAGTTTTTCTTAATGGTGGCAGTTGATACTGGTTGTGCTGTGAAAACATCACAGGAGAAAAGAAGCCATAGCATTGACAGTCTTCTTGCCACTCCTGGAAACTGTGCAAACCCCAGTCAGATGACTTCCATCCCTGACACTAGAGATGTTGGTTGGATCAGGGTCTGAAGAGGAAGGAGGCATGGGGAACCCAATGCGGCGAGGGGGGGTCAGCAATAGACCAGGGCCCAGGCCCGGCAGGCAGACAAGGGGTGGGTCAGGGTTGAAGAGCAGGCCTGAGAGACAGTAAAGGCCGGAAATAACAGTTCTTTCCAATAGACTTCCCCAAATACTCACTATCAAAACAATTTAAAAAGTCCAAAACCAAATGTCATAAATGAGCAAGTGAAAAGGCAGGTTGCAGAGCAGAATTTACAGATAATTCCAATTTTATAAAAATAAGTATATTACCACCTGTGTCATACGGTAAGGGACTGATGAATATTTTATCATGTGTGAGTGTATAAATATACCGGTGGCACCTTTTGCAGAAAGAACTGTGTAAATTGTGCCCCGTTCTTTGGTGAGGGGGGAGCAGGGAGCAGAGTTCAGGGCATAAAAAGAGATTTTGCCCTTGCTGGCTCCTCGGTCTGGAAAATTCCTCCCCCAGATACTCTCCAGGTATGCTTGCTGTTTATCCAGGGCACAGTCCCTGTGCCTGTGAGAGACCTCCTAGATCAGCTGCTCCTGATCAGCACCCCTGTCCAGCTTCTTTTCCTATCCTGCCTGCCTTTTTCCTAGCTCTTCCCACTACCGACATTCTGTTACATTTCCATTTGTTTTATTTATCCAGGAGAGTAGACTTTGTTCTTCCTTATGGTTGTATTCTCATTTCTTAAATATGACCCGGGACATAGGTAGGTGCTGATTAAATCGACTGAATGACTAAAATGTAACAAAGGTGTCCATTCTTCTTTGTTCCCAGATCAGGGTGCCTTGCCTAGGCAAACCCTCAAGTTCAAAGACAGCTCTCCCCACTCCCACCAGTGCTCCAGAGGTCACCTTAGAGCATCAGTTTCGAACCTTTTTTTGACCATGACCCTCAGGAAGAAATACATTCAATCCCCAGTCTTATATGTACTATATTGAACTGCAACAAACAAAAAACTCTTACTACAAACAACGTTTTCTATTTTTTCTTTCTTTTCTAGTTTTTATGACACTGGTCTCTACCCCTGGAATTGATTTTGCCACCTACTAATGGGTGGCCAATGCCAGTGTCTGTGGGAATAGTCAGAGGTCTCATTGGTCCCTAGTGTCAGTGTAACTGCTACAAATGCAGATTCCTGTCCACCCCAGACTTAATGAATGAGAGTCTTACTGGAACGTCTACGTCCTTCACAACCCCTCTCCCCAACCACCCCAGCTGATTCTGAAGCCTGATAAAGTGTGAGGATCACTTAGGAGTTTATGAGTGTCCCGTGGTCTCTTGTGGGGACATGTGTTGGGCAGGGCCTGATGCACTTTAAGGGAAGGGGCTGATTTTCCAGTTCTGGTCCACCTCAGCCCCTGAATGGTGGAAGTGATGATTCCCATGTTATAAAAGTAAATATATTCCCACAGAAGCCCCTTGCACTCTCTAATCCCTCTGCCTGGAAGAATTTCTGGTGATTTGGCTGTTTTCCCAACTCCAGCCCTCCCAGGGCCACACCCAATGAAGAGGCTCCACTTTCCCCCAGAACCTTAACCCCTTCTTCCTCTCCTTGCTCTCCACAGTCTCTTCTCTCATCACACAAAATCACCTTCTGCTTTTTTTCCCTCCTTACCATAAGGGTTAACAGCCCTCCCCACCCAGCTCTTAGAACAAAAAAATTCTAACCACAGTCTCAAATGATGGTGGCCCATTTCCTTCCCTACTCTTGGAAGAGGGTAAACGCTGTATGTCTTCACCCACCCATTGGGATTGCATTAGAAACTTCTTTTGATGCCAAGATCGTTGCACCCTCCCACCAAAGAATGTCACAGAATTTACATTATGAAAACCTGCTACAAGTATTTTTTCACTTATTGATGAGAGAGAGAGAGAGAGAGAGAGAGAGAGAGAGAGGAACATGTGCCCTGACCGTGGATCAAACCCACAACCTTGGCATATTGGGACGATGCTCTAACCAACTGAGCTACTCAGCCAGGGCACACGTATATTTATTGATCCCCACACCTACAATAAAACATTTATTAGCCCCTAAGTGTATGCCATATGCCCCAGCTAGCAGTTCTTGGCAGACATGATCTCATTTAATTCTGAAAGCAGCCCTCAGAGATAGAGTCTATTCTCACCCCCATTTTAGCAATGAGGAAACTAGGCACAGCCTGATTAAATAATCTGACCAAGGTCCCGTAAGAGGCATAGCTCTGGAGCTGGTAGCTGCCTTACCCCCAGGGGCTGAGAGAAGGAAGGGTTCTCTTCCATTTGTGCAGTAGCTGTTAGAGGTGCCTCAGAGTAGAGGTAGGTGCCTGCATCCCAACATGCCGCAGGATGTAGTGATGTTTCTCTTTCCGACTTTGCTCTCAGTGTCCAGTTCTGATGAACTGAGAATGTCCTCTGGCACCGGAGGCCTGGCTCCTTCTCCTGTTGGCTGAGTTCTCTCCTCAGCCCTCTGCCAACACCTCCTAAAATGAAGTTTGGGGGTTGGGGAGCAGTGCTCTTCTTGCGTGCCCACAGAGGGTTTAATTTGGGCTTAGAATGATTTTTATCAGATCCTAAGAAAAAAGCCACAAGACAGCTCAGGTCCATGGGATGGGGTCTTCATCCACGTGCTTATTTGCATAGTATATTTTCTTTAATAAACATGCATTGATTTTTTTCAATACTAGTTTTCAAATTAAGAAAATTTAGATATAAATACGTTGGGGAAATCAGCCTAACAAAGATGTTCCTCATTGGATCTTAATACGCAATTAAAATTCTTAAACATGTTAACCATACGTCGAACTGCCTGGGTCCCAATCTCACTGCTACCAGTTAGTGACTGTGACCCCTGGCAAGTTACACAACCTCTATAAAAATTGGGGATCCTCACACTTTTCCTGGTACCGATGGCAGG